TTGCAGGGATGGACAGTTAGGAGCCCTGTCAATATAAAACTGAGGACACGAGGAAGGGTATTTACTTGTAGAAACGAGGCCTGCAGTTGCATTGCACCGTCAGCTTTCTGGCAGAACATGCATGCGCTCTTAGCGTCCTTTCCTTACCACTAACCCCATATTCAGGAACAGTGGATCGTCTGTCATCTCCTGGCATGCAGCAGGCGTCGTTTGTTTACTCGTTACCCACTGTGCTGCACCTCATCTGAATTCATTCGGTAATGCTCTAGATTTCTAACCGAGAGGTACTGCTTCAATTATCGGCAGCTTCTCAGGTTTTCGTCTTTTCCCTCAACTTCTAAAGGCGAATACCCTTAACAACACCATAAGCATTTCCTTCCAAAGTATTACTAAATCATTCTTTATAATAGTTTTTAAGGTATTATTTCCCCTCATCACCGGAAAGATGACGAATGTAGTAACAGTTCTTGGGACTAGCCCTTTCTAACGGATCCAACAGAATAGGTGTACACTACCCCATCCACCTGAGGACGGAGACAGACCCAGTCTCTGAAACGTTGTGGTTTTATGTCTTCTATATACCAGAGTCCAAAATAAGCCTAATAGTTCTGTACAGCATACACCATCGTCAGAATAATTTCAAGTCTATTTCTTCTTATTGGTTTTGGAAAGCTGCTCAGTTCGAATCTCGAAAGCGGAACTAAATGAACTTTTATTTGTTTTCCTAGTCCCTGAAGATACTGGGATCATCCCATCCACTTTTGCAAACACAAGAGAATTTCTTAAACATGTACTCAGATCTGCGTTTTAGCGTTAGCCACTAATTATGTGTGTAACTTTCAGTTTGCAATTTTTGTTTTTAACTGCCACAGAAGACAAACTGAATTTTGTTAGATTTCACGCTTTTACACCTATGCCTATGAAAAATATTGTCTTCTGGTATGTGGCGACCTGTACTCCGATAGTAGTTGTCCGAAGTTTCGGAGACACCTTTAATTAACATGGAGTAACAGAGGACAGTAATGTTTATTACTAATTCTTATTACTTGACATTACCAGAATCAACTACATTTACAAGCAACAGCGACAGATTTTCAATCCAGTCGTTTCTGTTCGTTTTCATACAAGCACCTGCCATATCTATATCTGTAAAGGCAAATGCTGTTCATACTACCGAGGCTGTGTTCGACTGGGATACAGTAACTTGTCTATACTAATGGTATAAGTTATTTGGTCGAAAACATTAATACTGTGACATGTCAACGCATTGCCAGGCGACTGTTCGATAAACACCCCCGATACGCGCACACAACAATAGGACGAATGTTATAGCTCGTTGCTAGGCAACAATTAGCGCACAAATGAACTCGCTGGGTAGGAATCATGTGATTTGTGTTTTCAATGTTGTCCGCGCCATATCCAGTGCTAGGCAACAGAACTGTAAGTATGTCTACAATAGTATAAGGTGTTTTCTATGCGTGGTCCGTGCCGAAGATTTATAAGGAACAGCAAAGGTGGTTTGTGAGTAGTAGAAGCTGCGAAGCCGTGAGCCAAGGACAGGAAGCCGTCATGGAAAAGAGTAGAGAGTGCAGTGCAGTGTAGTTAAGAGTTACCTCCAAGTGTGCGCCTGTGAAGAGAAGACTTTATGTGTAATATTTGGAGTGTGTAATTAAAGGAGACTTTTATAGTTCCTGTGTTTTAAGTTGGTTAGCAGGAAAGAACTATCGTGTGTATCAGTGAATTATAAAGTGTAAAAATAGCGATAGCGCTATGATTAAGTGTAATTACTGATGGTGAGCGTCAGGAGTAAATAAATCCGTTCATCAAATTCACAACCTGCGTTGTTAGTCACTAATACTCGTTACAATATCATAAACAGAGAAGTAAACCCCATTAGACTCCAGTAAGAAGTTTGGTCTAAACGTAAGCGAAAAGAAAACAAAATGTTAGGAAGCGTTCCAAACTTGAGATATTTAGGGACAGTGAAAACAAATGAAGGAACCTAATGAAATTAAGGGAATATTTGCTGCCATTAAGCATCGAATATTTTGCCTGTCCATCTGAAGTCTAAGAACTTAAACACACGAGTGCGGAATTTTGTCTCTCACGTGAAAGGAAGGATATATATTTGGATGTAAGACGGAGACAGCACCAGGATGGTGGAGAAAATGGAATTTATTCGCTTAGTGGGGGGTGGAGTCCAGTTCGGTAGACTCGGCACTGCGGCCACTGATTGGCCTATTTTACCTGCCCCGCGTGATTATGAGGATGGAGAATTTGGTGGAATGAAAATTGGTAGGGGAAACCGAAGTACTCGGAGAAAACCTACCTCAGCGCCACTTTGTCCACCACTAATCCCACTTGACCAGACCCGGGTTTGAACACGGGCCGCTGCGGTAGGAAGACAGCGATTAACCGCTTGAGCTATGGCGCGGGCTTGAGAAAATGGCATAATGAGGACCTTCTAAAAACATTTTCTTCGCCAGATATTACTAGGATGATGAAATCAAGGAAAATGAGATGGGTGAGGCAAGTATCATGCACGGGAGAGGAGAAATATGTATACGGTAGACCAAGGTGTAGATGGCAGTGCAATATTACGTTCCGTATTAAAGAAACTGGATATAGGATGTGGACTGAATTCGTTTAGTTTGGGAAGTGAGCGAGTGTTAGGAGCTTGTGAACACGATAATGAAGCTTCTGGTCCCATACAAGACGTGGAATTTCTTGACTATCAACTTTTCAAGAAGAACCATCCTCCAAGGATATCTAGCCTGGGTTCAGTGCTCGGTTAGGGGCTCATATAAGAATCAGAGCAGAGATACTGTGTCACTCTTCGAACAGTTACATATTCTAATCAATAGAAAATTTTCGTTATTACATAAGGATCCTAGTTGAAGAAATGTAAACTCGCTTTCAAGAAATGAATGGACCCATTCGTCCTGTAAGATGAATTTTCACACCCCTGCACTAAGCTGCCAGAAGAACATGTTTATTTTACGCTGTTAAGACGTCTCATCAATCCGTTCAAATAATCCGTCTACAGAATAGCACGGCCTGCTAGAGATGTTTGCTGAGCCCAGACAATTGTGCTCTGAAAACGTAGTTGAGAGCAGGAGTACAATCTGGAGCAAGACAACATGTCCCACAGTGACTCATCTGTTTCAGTCCCTTCCTTGAGCCATAATGAAGATAAAGTAGCACGCACGTAACAAAAACATGGTAAAGGGACACTTCTTATTGGCCATCGCTGTCGCGTGTTTTAGGTGTCAATGCCTCACATATTCCAGGAGATTAATGACGGATATTAGGGCTATAAAATATGACTTCCCAGTGGCTGAGCTGCAATGCGCCTTTTCTTGTATCAAACCATGGGGAAGATTACCCTGAATGTGGTCATCTCTTGTTTTTTTCTGACGTTCCTCGTCTTCAGTTATAACAACCGCCCTCATTTGATCGTGCCATTGACGTTTTGTATAGAACAGAGAAGAAATTATGTGGATACGCACTGTAGATAAGTGGCGTGCAGTGTTACTAGTAGAAGAATCTTATTACCGTAGATATTAGGCCATAACCAGATCAACATATAATACTAAAAATGAGTATAAAATATAATAAATATATTTGAAGATGCTCTCGAATTCGAAGAGGCGGGTGTAAGGCACCGAATCAGAAATAAGTTTTCTCTTCGTGCAATTTCTGAAAAGAGACGTACAAATTACAGCTGTAGGCCCATAGACAATTTCTGCGTGTTACGAAGGGTGAACAGGAGAAAAAACATTAAGTTTTCCGGAGTGTGGAGACCCAAGTGTTACTAGATAGACAGAATTTTGTATTTCGATATAACTCCTTAAGATAACTGTCCGCTGAGATATGACGCCATGTATTCTAGTATATACGTATTCGACATTTTGGACAAACCTGCAACTTCGTAGCAGAAGTGTCGGTAGATATGTCTGTCTATGAAATCAGAAGGTGCCTCTTCCTAGGAGATTATAACCTCAATATTCACTGCCTTGAGAATCTCAAATTGCATACTTCGGCCGCTCTTTATATTCTTTGGGCTTTGGCCCATTCTTGTCACTGCACGTCTAGGGACAGCAAAGTGGCAGTAGACCTATACGCAACATCAGCAAAAAAGGGGCATCGTATCGTCACACCCCCCTCCCCAAATGCACTTAGGGGATTTCGACGAGAATTAATATGCTGGGGTGGTGAGGCTAGACAGTTTCCTTAAGGCTAATTAGTCTCTTCTGAAGCTCATCATACAAAATATTGTTACGGGAAATACACGTCATTAAGTCCTTCAATCTCCTTTTTAATCTATTTTCGATATATTGAATATTTAAGGAAATAGACGTGTATAAATGAAATAAATTTACATTTCTCTATAATCTGTATTGCTGGTCTTAGTTGTTGCCTCTCGTCGGAAATGTGGCTCTGTGTAAGCTCATTATGAGCTATTAATAATTTGTAACAATACTTTTGTTTACAATAAATGAATAGCAAGAGCAGGGATAGCTCAGTCGGTATAACTATAGGCTACGGGGTGGACAGCCGGGGTTCAATTCGCAGCAGTAAAAAGAAAGTTTTCTCCATAGCGTCCAGGCCGACTCTGGGGCCCAACAAGCTTCCTACCCAATGGGCAGCCGGAGGTAAAGTGGTAAGGTCGTGAAGCTTACCACTCACATGTATGTAGTACTGAGGACAAGAGTGTTGGAGTTATTCACTCCCCATATGCCTTAATGACGTAGTGTATAAATAATTAAGCATCTGGACAACTTTACATTTTTAACACCCAAATAATAACTATTAATGTCAGTGGAAATTGATGAATGAAAGAATGAAATGAATGAATTTTGAAATACATGCAATGTGAACAGCGTTACTACTTTACAATCTCCTTTTGTGTTTTGTTTTTTTATGTCCTGTTTCGATAGTAGCGAATAAAACCGTGCTGTTATACCCATAACCAACCGGCATGCAAGCGTATAATGTACCTGGTATAGAGCCATGTTTGAATAGACGACTGTCTGGTAGCAAGAGCACGTCTACATGCAGCAGTCGGAAGACAAATTTCTGTCACTTTTCTTAAGATTCAGTATTTCCTTGAACCGAATAGCACTATCTTCATTTACATCTTCAGAACGTCCCTCCACCACTGACCACTCAACTTCTGTCACGTAACACACGATCTGGCTGGGTGATGGCAGTCAACTAGTTTCTTCCTAACACCGCTCCTCTAGTTTTGTTTCGCAAACCTAACCTTCCTCGTACTGCTGCTACTTCTTTCTTCCTGTTACTAACGAAATGATCAATGTTGACCCCCTCCTCCCTTTACTTGTCCATTCTCTTTAGTTTGTGTGAAGCAGAGATTGTTAAGGGGCATTCTGGTAGGCGTCGCCTTGCGGATGGGGCCACCTGTACCGGCAGTACATCTGTCTATGTGTATGCCCGAGGTGGGGAGATTTCTCTCCGTGCAACAAGTGTAACTACCTCTCACTTATGAAGGAAGGAAGCGAAAAGAAGCAGAAAGTTTTCTTCCTACATGCCCGTCTCATGCTATGTAACCTAATTAGAAAGAATCGATTAGTTAGGTAGTTAAAAGTTAATGCAAAGCGAGTAGATTGCTTACAAGTTCGTTAATCGCTGAATTTCTTAATAGAAAATGATCACGTATTCCTAACTAGGAGTTATTCATCACGATATGTTCATCACCGATATTATATATATTATTTTTCTTGGTACTACAGCCCCGTGGGCCTAGGCCTACCTCCATGAACTTCTCCGTTCACTTCGGTTTTTATAGATCTTACATATTCAGTAGGACTCCTTCGGCGGGTGATCAGCTCGTCGGAAGGCCTCTACCTGTAGACAAACACAGAAAAACGTACACACACAAACTAAAGATCCATGCCCTGAGTGGGATTCGAACCCACGATCCCGGTTTCCAAGCTAGCGAAGACAGTACATGCCTTAGACCGCTCGGCTACCGTGACCAGCCCCGCTATTATATATATATATATATATATTTCCCCCCCCCTTGGCGCTATAGCCAGAGTGGGCCTAGGCCTACCTCCATGAACTTCCCCGTTCACTTCGATCCCGCTATTATTTACCGTTATATTTTTTGAGGAAGCGTAATCTACAGACGCAATAATACACCAAGAGCCAGTCAACACTTCCTCAGTTGCACTCAAAACACAATGCGGGCATACTGTTTATTTATGGACGCTGTCACTAACTCACAATAGGACACTGAATGATAGGATTGTTGGAAAAAGTAAAGTCGTACCTCTGATTAGTTTATTAAGCACAACGACGTGAAGACTTATGGGAAGAGAAGGCGTAGCTCCACCATTCTTCACCAAAGCACTGGATGGAGGTGTGGTCAGCTTCACGCCTCAGCCGCTTTTACGCCGGGAAAGAGTCCCCGGTACCCATAGGATAGAAGGGTTGTGGGCCACAGAGCCGGTCTGGCCTCTGTGGATTAAATCAAAGTGTTTCTGCCTCTGCTGTTCATCTCGTACCGACTGAACTATCCCGTAGAGGATTACTGGTGAATGGTTAATTGGAAATGATGTGGATAGAAACGGCCGTATTCTGTTAAAAGCACTGTCTTGACATTTCCTGGAGGGTGTTAGAAAACCAACGAAAAATGTCATTCAGGATATTCAGTGTACCAGTCAAGATTCGAACAGAATGCCTTCCGAAAATGTCACACAATTTGCAGCTTGGGCCTTCTTGCTCCTCTACTTTTACAATCAGCGTTCTGTCCTGCGGCGCATGTTTTGTAGAGTAATGTCTTTTTGACGTTAAAGGCAAATTGTCCCTAGGACCAAGCCCCATGCTATGAAAGCTTGCAGGTGAATTCCCATGAATTTATAGCATGGTTCTACAAGGAGTTGCGTGGTCAGATCGACATGCCAGCCTCCTGTCTCCGGGGAAGGAACCTCTGTTGTCCATTTGTAATTAGATAGGGGAATTTTGATAGGTCGAAAGGCCGACTTGGATGTCGTGACGATGAAACGAATCTCCTTACTAGAGGATGAAACCGTTAGTTCACCAGGTTACCATTCTCCTTAAAACTGCGGTATCCCGCCACAAATTCTTGATATTAAAATAAATATTTTGTAGGGAGGGTTGAGGTTTTATTTCTGTAAAACGTATTATCTTCTGGTATGTTAAGCCATGTGACCTGTTAGACGTAAACGTCTACCAGACTACCATAGGCCACTTCTCAAATTATGGTGGTCTTTAACTCAGTTATTTTCAGAGGGATCTGATGATTACAAGTTCTTCCACTCGTAAATAAGCATTATTTAGAAATCCTCACTACTAATTTCCTGTTCGTAATACAGTAAACACTTGTTATCATGGACTAATAGGTGGGACTCAATGTCCATTATTCCTGATGTCCGCTATGACTGTGTGAAGATACAGCCACGGACGTACATCTTAGGATACATAGCCAATGTACGCAATTGCATGAAGTTTATTGTATTGAGGTTCTGTTTTATTTTAAATATTGTCACATGTTCGGGGTTCCGTCACGAACAATAACAGGTTCTGTATTGGATGCTTAGATATTGGTACTTCCACTACCATCACTCCTAATTACGATCAGGTATAACAGCTCACAATTGATGAGTCTTTAAGACAAGCCCCATTCTGCTGGACTGCGACGCTGTTCCCTTCCACTGTAACTGACTTGCTTCTGATTTAAAATCAGACCCTTCTTCAGCTTCCGTTGTCCGCGGGTTAACACTCCACAGCTGAACACTCAACTACCGAATTGAACTGTTGAGTAACTGAACGAACTCACCTGAACCGAAGTAAACTCTCCTTTTGTAACTTCAAGGCGAACCCACCATCTCGAATAGTTCGTGTGTTACGGTATCTATTCGTTACCGCGGGAACGTGCTTACCGAACCGTTGTCTAGCAATAGACTATTCCGGTTTTCAAGCTCTATGTCACACTCGTTGCCACGGACACACATTTTAGCGAGCCCATGTCTAACAATGGACTATTTCGGCTTTAAGGCGTCATGTCACAATATCTTTCTAATTACAGAATTTTCTTCGTTCCTCAACATCTCTAAAAATTCAATTCTACACAGCCAGATTTTCTGTTATATCCGACATCCGTTATATCCGGGTACGTTCTGAAGAGGGTCTATTTTGTTAACATTTTGAAAGAAATTAAGAAAATATCTGAACGAGCCTAATGTTCTTTACGGTTTTTTAAACATTGTTACTAAAAACGGATCATTACATATGATTCAATTCTGAATCTAAAAATAAACCACAATCTATTGAGGCAGTAAAGAATGTATGAAGCTTCATGTCCATGCTCTCCAATAGCCTTCATGACACGGTGCTTAAAGTACGGAGACCGCCTTAACTTCATGCATGTTCACTGTTTACACATTTGTTCGTGATAATGAATCATCATAAATTTAGAAACTTCGCTGTTTGTAATCTTTTTCCTTACACAAGGCAGAACAGCAGATTTATGGAATCATCATCCTGACTGTGTGTGTTCTCCCTTTCACCTTTCGAACCCCCTCTTTACTTGTCACTAAATGTTATACAGGTCTGAACCCGATGCCATTAGAGGACACCCCAACCTCGTACATTTTAATCTCTCACAATCACTAATAGCATGGCGGACCACGAATGGTGAGGTTGGAGTGTCATATAATACAAATACGGTAATAGATCTCCGACAAATATGCAGATTTGCTGTGGTATTTCCTTTTTGTAAAATGTAAACGGCCAACATGGTAGTTGCATGAAATCATCGTTTGGTCTGATGGCAGTGCCTAATGAACCTTATCAAACGTGATGTGGAGATACAGCATAAACATACATATAAATTATATATGACTCATTTCAGCGGCTCATTTATCCATCTACAAATCCTCATATCCATCTGCCAAATCATTGATCCTTCCAGTAATCCACAAATCTATCCAAGCATTTATCTGTCCATTCACTCATCCACTCATCAGCCAATCCAACCATGTATCTGGCCATCAACTGATCTACCTATTATTTCTTCCGCTAATCCATCCATCCACCATTCCACCAATTCATTAAATAATTTATCTATACAATCACCTTCCATAAATCCACTGAGACCTCAGCATCAATCAATTCATTTTTCTTCTATTCATTCCCCATTCCGCCCATTCCTCAGTCATTCATTTATTCATCTATGCGCTACTCATCAATCCATTCACCAATTCACCTTGCATATTATCATCTATTCACCAGTTCGCTCATTCGCTTTGCATATTCTCATCTATCCACTAGTTTATCTATTAATTCATCCTGTATACAACTGTCCACCCATCCGTTTATCAACCAACCTATTCATTACTCCGATATTCATCCATCCACTCATCTGTCCGTACAGCCAGGCAACCTATCATCTCTTCGTGTTACTGTGTTTGTGCACCACTCGCATTTTCTGCTATGCCATTTCTCTTACTTTCATCGCCTTTCTATGCCTCCCTGGCAGTGCGGCTTTACCTGTGCCTGCCTGCCTGTTCTTAACTCAAGTTTTCTCTCTGTGACACCAATAATTGTAATAATAAAACTAAGTGAATTATCATTCGAAGGACAATGTATATGATACAACAATCGCACCTTCACATGTTGAGAGTTGCAATAGTCTGACGGCAACATTCATTCGCATCGGGGAAAGCCGAGCATGGTTTTCTGATGTGGCAGAGAAACACTATAAGCAAAATAGCCGCAATGAGACGTTATAGGAATTAGGCATAAAGTCATTCTAACTAGGAGCTTTCATTCGCAGTCTCATAGTAAGTAAAAAAATCTGTTTGCGTGAGATTCGTTATGAACTGAGGAACTCTGCCATATGTCTTGCAATATTTTCAAGACTCATTTTCGTGTTAGTCTCTGTCTATGCCCGGGTGTTTCAAGAGAACTTTTCCCTTCAGTCTATCCGACTAAAATTTTGTATGCATTTATTGCCTCCCTTATGCATGCTACAATTGGGGGCCATTTCATCCTTACTGGCT